GCAGGTCTTTGACTTCAGCTTTCTGAAGCTTCAGCTTACATTCCTGCTTCAGAAGTAGCACAGGGCAAAACAAGGGAGCTGTTGGGGAGTGGGGCTCGCAGACAAGTAATTCCAAAGATGTTTGTGTTTGTTCAGGTTCCTAAAAAACGGAAGGAAATAATCTTCTGTTCTGCTATGACAGTGGTTTGTCATGAGTTCCAAAACACTTTACTAGAGGTTTATATTCCATTAGTTTGTGTGTGGTGTGGGTCCACTCTTTGGTTCTTATGAGTTCTTTCCTGGGTATTTGCTTGTTGAATGTGCTAGAAGAAATGCCATCATGAACAAGGTGCAAGGCTTTGCAAAACTTGGTCATTTTTGGAATCCCAATCCTCGAGTGATAAAAAATAAGAGGCTTCAATTTACTGCATGGTATCTTGTACAAATCGAGCATCTAGAGAGCAAACTGACTACGGAGTTGCTGCGTTTTGTTGCAGTTTAGCTAAAATGCTGTTTATGCTAGAAACTATTAAAATATAATTTACTTGCTTACTTTGTTGTGTCAAATCTATGTAATGAAGCGAGGTGGGTGTTTTCATTTGCAATCTATTGTTTCAAGACATACCAGCACAGTATTGAATTCATCTGAGTCTTGTGCCTGTTAAGCTTTACTAAATCAACCTCTAGTGTGCAAGCTGAAATATTTCTCAGGAAATGAGTTTGGCCCTCAATTTATAGTACGTGCTAACCATAATAAAGTATTGTATGCAGCACATGCTAGAATATAAAGCACTTTCAGGTTATAATATTTTATATTAGAATCTCATATTGTAAAATAATCATTTAGAAGAAAAGAGTAACAGTTTTTTTACAGTGAATTAATATGTTTTGGGTCATTTGGATTAGAGTTAGGTATCTAGCCAATATTGCCATTTGCTGAAGAATGGTTTAATAAGTCATAAGTTAGGTCAATTTTGAAATAAAAATTTTGTCTCAAGATTTATGTTTAATTGTCTTGGAAGACACTGAAATAAAAGTTTTCACTGTGTTTGTTTTTTTTTAACAGTTTACTCTTTTCAGAAAAAGATTCTGTTAAAGCCTTCTGCGAAATAACTTAAAGCTCTTCTGATTTTTAGCTTTACAGCATTTTGTATCAGACTGAAAAATTAGGAGTTGCAAAGTACGTTTCCACTGGTAATTATGCTTACTTGGTATCTAGGTTGTGCTACGTGGAAATAGATTTTGTGCATTCAGTAGAGTCCTGTTGGATGATTTAAATAAAGCTGCTATTTGTGTCACTCTATTGCTGTCTCTTTGCGTGGAATCTCATGAGCTTTATTAATCCTGTTCTAGGTTTGCTTATACTGTCTATGATAGAAATGGGCAGCATGGTTGTTTTAACATGCCTAAAAAGTTTGGGTTTGAGAGTCATGAGATGTGGGATCTGCTCTTTATTCTTCCACAGATTTTCTATTTGATTCTGGCTAAATAATTCAATCTGGTTTAGTATTTAAAAAATACATATAAGTAAGCAAGTAATGTTAACTTGTAATCATTCAATGGCCCTGCAGAAGTACTTACTTTAATTGAGATTTCTTTGATATTACACCATATATGCCAATACTTGTGGTTTTTATGCTGAATTCTTTTCCTACAGTAAATTAGGGATATATTATTTGGGTTTTTTTCTCTTTATGGGAGAACAGTGTCAGAAGATCAGATTTCTTGCTTTAGAACTTAAATCAGATTCTTTTTTTTAAGTAAAACTTTAAGCTAACAGTACTTTGGTTCTTGAAAAACGTTGTATCTGCCCTGGTTAGAATCCTTTTTGCCTTCAGATACTGTTTAAGGTTTCTTGGGCTTTTATTAATCTCCCAAATACCTAGCTATTTTTTATAGTTAATGTACCTCTGCACTGTCTGGCAATGATTGCTTAGCTGGTTGTTGTCACAGGACTTAGGAGATTATGATTTATGGATTTGGGTAAACTACATCTCTGAGTAAAAAGGCAGTATAAAACCTACATGAAATTTAAATCTTAAATAAACTGTATCTTTTCACTATCATACATTGTAATTCACATTAGCAGTCTTTATCCCATGTACGGGGGTGATGTAGATTAGCAAGTCTTTCAAAATTTTTGAATAGATGAGTATATATTGTGTAGTTCTATTGATTCGTCCAAGATTTCACAAATATTCATTAAAATGAAAGAAAGCAAGTACAATACACAAACAAATCTGGAATCATAATTATCTAACAGACCAGCAAAAATCTGTTGCCATAGAGAAATTGCTTCTTACAAAAATAGAAATATTTTGTGGGGGAAATGTTGGCCACTTTTGTGGTTGCTTACTTTGGGATGCCAACTGGAAATGGCTGTTAGTGTATATGATTGTACTAGGTGTGCTTTACTTGTACTTTCTATTGTAATTATCCTACTTCTGCTTTACCATATGGAAGAAATGCGTCCTTTGTAATACAGATTTGAAGGAATCATCATGGAAATGTGGAAATTCCAAAATTTTTAACAGCAATTTTTGTTGAAATGTAAAAAAATACATATATTGTGAGGTCATGGAAAGATGTTTGAGATAAAAAAAAAAAGTTTGTTAAAATGTGTGATGTGTCAGGATTACACTGTTTATCAGCTTTTTTATTTTATTAATCTGATTCTTCCACTTATAGCTTAAATGGAAAAATTGGATTTGCCTTTGGCTTTAATTCAGTCTATTCTATTCACAGGAAGGTTCACTTGCATGTTATTTTACTCCATTAAAAACATTTCACAAATAGTGCCAGCCAGAATTAATAACAGCTAAGTCTAGCATTTTCAAAGACATTAAAAAAAAAGGAAAATAACTCTTTTTCTCATGCATCAGCATTTTCTATTAAAAAAGAAAATTGGGGCAATTGTATATTTAGTGTCAAAATTGCTATTGGCTGAGTAACTTACTTTTGCAAATGTTTTTCGCTCTCATAATGCTGCTGTGGCCCATCTCTGTAGCAGTTCATTCTAGTTCACCTGGATTTATATATTTATCTGCTTGGGAAAAATGATCCTGTCTGTAGTGAAATATGTGTTTCCCCTTCAAATCTATGTTATCTGATGAAATTAAAATAAAAGCTTTTTAAGAAGTCCATTATAATATCTCTGAAAGACTTAAGACTCAAACCGAAATCTGTCCTCTGCAGGCAAGCAGATTAGCAAGACTAATGGTGGGTGGATGGGCATACTACCTTTTTTTTTGCCAAGACCCTGCTGGTCATGTTTCTTCCTCTCCATATGTTGCCCTCTTTTTATAAGCACTGTAGTGGTGTCTGGGGCTTCGGCTGACTGCAGGGTGTCATTGTCAGGAGTGCTGTATGTATACTGAGCAGCAGTCTCGCTCTTGACCATATTGAAACAGGTGAGGGGAGTGAAAACCGTGAGAAATCATGTGTTGTTCCCACCTTACAGGTAGGGAATTTATCCACCAAGAGTACAGTATCTCTCACAATCATGGAGTCTGAGGAAAAGCCAACCAACTGTCAGAGCAAAGCTTCCTTTGATCTGTGTAGTACAACAGTCATAAGGCCAGTCTTGTATCATGTAGTGGAACCAAGCTCTCTCTAATTTCCTTTTTGTATTCAAACTTTCCAAAGTCTCTTGCAAAGTCTACAGGGCCTGGTAGTTCCTGTAATAGCAATATTGTTGTTGTGGCTCTAGGGATGGTTTTGTTTGAATTGTAGCCAGTTTCTTGAAAAGAGCTATGATTTTGTGTGCCCAGCTGTATATTTTAAGGCCAGTGACCAACTGGGCACTAAAACCATCAAAATGCTTGTATCCAAACAGCATAAAAATCATAATTATTGATGATAACCAATTTGAGGATTTCCAGAAGTGTTTCTGGTAAAGAAACATTAGCAATTTCTTCAGTAGCAAGGTAAAACAGTGTTTTTTTAATTAAGGTAGTATTGATCCATGATTTCTACAGAAAGCATGGGTGTTTGGATACAGCTTCTAGTGATTTCATTTGTCTCTTGAACGAACACAGGCATAATCATGAATTCTAATTAATTTTCTCTCTCTGTAAACAAATGAGCTGGAGAATCCATTTTTGCTGATACAAAGCTAAACATTCAGGGTTAATGAGTGAATCGCTATTAAAAAAATTGAAAAGCATGGTTGTCTTGTCAGCTGATGCAGTTTTCCATGTCTTTGTAAGCCATTAGGAACTGAATTTGTAAGAAGGGTATACACAAATGCTAAAGATCTTCAGGGGTAGAAGGCAATTTATTGCCGGAGGTAGAGAGAGGGGCTCAGGTGATTCACAGCTCTTAAGTTAAGCTGGACTCCCTTCATTGCTCTCTGAAGGCCCCTGTGTGTATGTGCGTGCACATGTGCAGGTGTGTGTATGTGCTCCAAGGTTAAAGCAGACAATGCCTTTAATATGTGTAACAGTTACAGCAGAATGACTTTATCTTCTGATATTTCAATAAACGAGAGTAACTGTGCAGGTTTTGCACATGATGAGTACAGGTAATGCGTCTTAAATTTTCCTTTCATTGAAAGAATCTGGAGATAGGTTGCATTTTAAATAGTGTTCACTTTTCTGTACGCCAAAAGCATGTCTAGGTACTTTTTCTCAGCTGGCTTGCAGAGAAAGCTTTTTCATGATTCTGGTCTTCTAAGTCCATTTTTAAATGGACCTTAAGCTCCTACTTTAATTAAATGTTATTTAAGTATTTCACCCCATCTCCTTTTAATAAAATCAGAGTTTGAAAAATAATGAAAGTGTTAGTAAAATATGAAGTTCTTGGGTTTTTTTTTCTAATGAAAGAGCAATAGTAAGTTCTGATCCTTTTGTATCAGTCTGAGACGTATGTGTCTATAATGTGCTTGCTTTATTTGGCATGAGTGTCCTCATACAATAGTTTGTATTTCTTACAGCTAAGAAACAGTGTCTGGTAAGTACTAGTGGATTAACTGTATCCCATAACTGATTCAACAATGTTGAATCAATTTCTCTTTGTTTCAGGTGACCAGACTTTAAGAGTTTGGGATGTGAAAGCCCCAGGAGTCAAACTTGTGATACCGGCCCACCAGGCTGAGATCTTGAGCTGTGACTGGTGCAAATATGATGAGGTATAAACCTGTTCATCCAACTGTTTTCCTAATTGAACCACTCCCATTAAATAGCGGGGTTTTTTACTGCAACATTAATGCATCTTCTCTTTATAAAAACATGTCTAGTTGCTTTGTTGCTCTCATTCACTATTACATCTTCGGAAGAGCATTGTTCCAACAGATAGATGGCCCAAGTAGATCAGAGGTTTTGCTTATACTTTTGTATAGTGGACAGAATAGTCCATAGTGGAGAAACAGTTTGTATTTCTCTGGTCTCTTTAATTTACACACTGGAGACCTCAATGATGATTTATTCATCTGAGTGTTAGTAATAAAATGAAGTTCTTAGGTTTTTTTTCTAATGAAAGAGCAATAGTAAGTTCTGATCCTTTTGTGCATCAGTCTGACGTATGTGTCTATAATGTGCTTGCTTTATTTGGCATGAGTGTCCTCATACAATAGTTTGTATTTCTTACAGCTAAGAAACAGTGTCTGGTAAGTACTAGTGGATTAACTGTATCCCATAACTGATTCAACAATGTTGAATCAATTTCTCTTTGTTTCAGGTGACCAGACTTTAAGAGTTTGGGATGTGAAAGCCCCAGGAGTCAAACTTGTGATACCGGCCCACCAGGCTGAGATCTTGAGCTGTGACTGGTGCAAATATGATGAGGTATAAACCTGTTCATCCAACTGTTTTCCTAATTGAACCACTCCCATTAAATAGCGGGGTTTTTTACTGCAACATTAATGCATCTTCTCTTTATAAAAACATGTCTAGTTGCTTTGTTGCTCTCATTCACTATTAATCTTCGGAAGAGCATTGTTCCAACAGATAGATGGCCCAAGTAGATCAGAGGTTTTGCTTATACTTTTGTATAGTGGACAGAATAGTCCATAGTGGAGAAACAGTTTGTATTTCTCTGGTCTCTTTAATTTACACACTGGAGACCTCATTGATGATTTATTCGTCTGTGTTGTTTGATTTATCTAACTTTTGTAGCCAACGTACGCGTCACTGCAATTTAATCATTAAAGTGTCCTGATATATCTGTGTTTTATCAAATCATCAGAACTTGCTGGTAACTGGTGCAGTTGACTGTAGCTTGAAAGGCTGGGATTTGCGGAACATCCGGCAACCAGTGTTCATCTTGCTTGGTCATACTTATGCTATCAGAAGAGTAAAAGTAAGTTGTATTTTATTCCCCATTGACCACCACTGAATTGTTACACAAATTTTTCTGGAAAGCAGTAATACTTTATATTATCTAATAACTAGGAAAAAAACCAACAGGTGTTGAAGATTTTTAGATGCTACAGTGACTGTTCCTGGAAACATTCAGTTTAGCACTGTAAAACATTTTGAAGTGTAGCAGATTGTTGGGATTTCAAAGTAAATGACATCTTCAGAGTCAATATATTTCCATGATGGGTGTTCGAGAGCTTGAGAGAGGGTTGGGAGGTTTACTTCAGCTAAGTTATATGGGAAATTTGGGATAGAGAAAATACCTTCCCTTATTCGTTTTTTAAATGGTGCTGTGCCTTTTTCTTTCCATACAAACGGTCAATATTCACATAAGGCAAGGTATAGAACTCGTCAATATGTATTTTTGTGTATACAAAGAAAATGTTAATATGTTCAATGAGATTTTGAAACTTTATGCATGAAATGCTACAGATGAATATAGTGGGTCTGTGTACTACTAGATCACCCACTGATAGGAATTTGTTCTAGATGCACGATGACGTTTTTTTTCATATTAGTCAATATTCACATAAGGCAAGGTATAGAACTCGTCAATATGTATTTTTGTGTATACAAAGAAAATGTTAATATGTTCAATGAGATTTTGAAACTTTATGCATGAAATGCTACAGATGAATATAGTGGGTCTGTGTACTACTAGATCACCCACTGATAGGAATTTGTTCTAGATGCACGATGACGTTTTTTTTCATATTAGTCAGTGCTTTTTTTTTATTTTTAGCAGGTTTTTTTTTTTTTTTTGTTTAATATTAGTCAGATAATACCTGATCCTTTTAAAGCCTTTCAGGAACAGGTATGTTTATTAATATTTTCTAGGAGGTCTGAACTGGCAGAAAAAACAATTATCCTGGCTCAGTATTTTGCTTCACATGCCCTTGGAACTTTTGATGTGCTTCTAACAACTTTAAAAGTTACTGCACTTAAGTTGTAATTTGCCAAAAAAGGGTGTGACTCAGGGAGTGGTTCCATATCACAAATCCTGTTTGTGGCCAGACAGCCTGAGCAGCTCCTGCTCCTGCTTATCCCAGCTACCCTTGGCTCCTATCCCCACTGGTGGTGGCTGTCCAATCTTTTTTTCTAATTTAATTCCTGCATGACCATGCTCCAGTCTGCCTCTGTGAAATGTTCTTCATAGCAGAAGAACATTTAGCAGTGGTGTGTGTGTGTTTGTTTTTTCTTGTTTTTTAACAAGATCATTTTGCAACTCCAATTTGACAGCCATTAAGACAGATGAATCAATACAGTATCAATCAATACAGACTGTCATATTCTTACGCTCTGACAGTTAGTGGGATCTTTTAAAAACAGCTCTGCCGCTAAGGGATTCATAGCACATTGTCGTCATGATAAAATGGAGAAAGTAAATGCAGAATTGTTATTCACCATAACCTGTGATAGTAGAACTAAAGGACACTTGATGAAACTAGTAGAAGATGGGTTTACAAGCCGATGGAATTACTTCTTTTACACATCAGATGGTAGACTTCTTGAATCAGCTCTCTGCACAAGAGGTTGCATAGGCAGGCAGTGTCATCAGGTTCCTGGATAGCAGCTGGTTGATAAACATACTAGAAGAGCTAGACAGGGATAGAATCTCTAATTTCTCTACTCTCTATCATCCTGGGCTGCATTAGGAAGAACGTTGCCAGCAGGTTGAGGGAAGTGATCCTTCCCCGCTACTCACCACACCAGTGAGACCATACGTGGGGTGCTGGGTCCAGTTCTGGGCTTTCCAATACAAGGGAGACATAGATATACTGGAGTAAATCCAGCGAAGGGCCACAAAGAAGATTAAGAGACTGGAGCCTCTGTCCTACCAGGAGAGGCTGAGAGAGCTGGGATTTGTTTAGTGTGGAGAAGAGAAGGCTTAGGGAGGATCTTATCACTGTGTATGAATGATTGGGGGAAATAGAGAAGACAAAGCCTGACTCTTCTCAGTGGTATCTAGTGAGAGGACCAGAGGCGATTGGTACAAACTAAAATACAGAAGATGGCATGTAAACATAGAGCACTGGGCTCGAAGACTGTTGGCCTGACCAGGTAGGGTCTCTTTTCATATTCTTATACTGTCTCATCTGAGTTTCCATTTTATGGCCCATCATGCTCCCTGTTTTCTTAAAATGCCTTGAAATGATTATTAGGAGTTGGCCAGCAGTAGAACTTTCTTTGCACAAACCTCTGAGATCAGTTCACTAAGTGGCTTTAAGGAGATGGTGGGAAGGCTGTATACGCATACATGTGCAAAGGAGAGGTATGTGAGAGTACATGACTTCTGTTCCGTCTTAGCAGGCTTTTATAGCTTCCATTTCAAGATAGACGTGGTCCCTGTGGACATAAGATACGAGAATGTGGGCCAGCACTTAGAGGTGGTGCAGCATATCTACACTTGTGTGGTATAACTCACCAGTCACACTAAATGGAGAGAGAGACTAGGATGCTACCTAAATAGAGGCAGCCGTCCCTACCAATGTCCCTTCCCCTACATTGTGCTGACACTAGCAATTACAAAGCTGTGCGGCAAGCTGGCTCAGCTGATTGCTCTGACTGAAAATCCTGTCCCTAAAAGTGACTAGCTTCTGTCTGGATCACTAAGCTGTCTCAATTTGTCGCTCAACCGCACAATTGCAAGCCCTGACACAAAGGAGGGGGGCAGGAGCACACAGCCTAAAGTGGAAAGGAAAGGGAAGGCCATGAGTCTTGGCAGCAGTGCACTCTTAAATTAGCTTAAACCAACCATGAAATCACACTCTTCAGTTGTCTGTCTTTTGTATTCTGTTCACTTATTCAGGGTTGTGTTGACTGTCAGATCTGAGGCTGGCAAGGAATTCTACCCAACATGATGTCAGGATTCCTGCAGATTTCTTGTGGTCTTTCACTGCAGTACAGGGCATTATCAGCACACTAAGGTCGTCTAGAGCCCTTTTCAGGAGATTGTGACATTGGTGCATTTGGCTGTCTCATATTCTTAGCTGGCTTCAATCTCTTATACTGAAATGTAGTTATGGTTTTTGAGTTTACCTAAAAAGATATTTGGATCATAGAATCATTGAGGTTGGAAAAGACCTCTAAGATCATCGAGTCCAACCATCGACCCAACACCACCACCCACTAAACCATGTCCCTAAGTGCCTCATCTACTTGTCTTTTAAATACCTCCAGGGATGGGGACTCAACCACTTCCCTGGGCAGCCTGTTCCAATGTTCAACCACTCTTTCAGTAAAGAAATTTTTCCT